ACGGAGTCTCGCTCTGTTACCAGGCTGGGGTGCAGTGGAGCGATCTCGGCTCACCACAACCTCCGCCTCCCGGGTTCAAGCAATTTTCCTGCCTTAGCCTCCCAAGTAGCCGGGATTATAGGTATGAGCCATCACACCCAGCTAATTTTTGTATTTTTAGTGGAGATGAGGTTTCACCATGTTGGCCAGGATGGTCTCAATCTCTTGACCTCATGATCCACCCACCTCCGCCTCCCAAGTGGCTGGGACTACAGGTGTGTGCCATCATGCCCAGCTAATTTTTGTGTTTTTAGTAGAGACAGGGTGTCACCAGGTGGGCGAGGCTGGTCTTGAACTCCTAACCTTAGGTCATCTGCCCGCCTTGGCCTCCCCAAGTGCTGGGATTACGGGTGTGAACCACTGCACCCGGCTCCAATTGTTTACGCTTGCTCTGATGTTCCTTGTGTGCAAGACCCTTTTCCCAGCTCCCTGAATTTCACACGATAAGGAAATGGAGGGAGGCTGCTGGTGGCAGCAGGGTCCAGCCTCACAGGGATTGTGAGCAGCACACACGTGGACAGAACATAAATGTCTGTGCTGGAAGGAACAAGGCCTCACAGCCATGTGCGAGTGCTGCATCCCTGCCTAAATCTTCTACGTTTAACACAACGGCAAGCCTGGCACGCTCTAGTCCCCACCGCCATCCCACAATAGAAGTACCAGCTGATCAGAATCCGGCCCCCCAAAAAGCATGCTTGTTTCCTTTTTGGTCCACTAATTACCCAGGCTTCTTTAGAGGTATACACCAGGAGCCGGTACAGCAACCTCACTACTGATACACGCTTACGTCTTTGTAGAAAACTCTAAAAATACCTGAGGGTTGGCCGGGTTTTTTCCTGGGCTCCGTGGAAAGGAACGGGCACAGGCTACACTATATGACATCAATGCAGGGCCCTGCTCCGGGAGCTCCTGCGGAACCTGGGCCCCATATGCCTTTGAGAGAAAAGGTGGATGAGAATAGTGTTCTCAAAAACCAGATAACATTTTCCTCTGGTATAAAAGAGGGAGTTATTCTGGTCCAATGACAGGTTAACATCTACTTTTAATGACTTGATATAGGGCTACAGAGGCTGGACATGGGCCTGAATCCCAGAGGACAGAAAAGGAAGCTGGTTCCCACGTTCAAACAACAGGGTGTCACCAGGGAGAGGCCCCAATTCACAGTGTGGCAACAGAGTTAGGACCAACAGTGACGGCCCTGGAACCCAAACACCACCCATCCTGGCACCTCTCCCAACACCTGACCCACTTACGCCACCACTGCATGTGGCCAGTGACTCTCAGCGGTTCTTCTGCTGTAATACATCCTGGAGATAACCAAGGATGTGGGTGTCACAGTGTCATCTGTGTTTAACTGAGATCATCTGGTTCTACGACCTTTTGAAATTTTCCAGACTGAGATAACTGGGCCACTTTCATGGTACAGAATTCTAGGACCTGAACTAGCAACACACCTGCACATTCCCAAGTTTGCTATTAAGGCAAGTCTGGAATCGGCTCATGGGTGTCTCCCCGAATGCCTCTTCCCATCTGGAACCAAGACCACCAGATAAACTCAGCTGGTATGCTTCAGCACTTCCCCTAACAACTCACAACAGAACAAACTCGCTGTATGCACCTGCCAGAGAATACACCAGGAACTCACTGCCTCTCCGTGCTTTTATCCAATGCTTGGCTGTGAAAATGAAACCAAGGAAGAATTACATGGAAGGTCATGCCATCCCTCCAGGTTCTGGTAATACCAAATCCATTCCCGGAATAAGCCCCTCCCTTAGGGAACTAGGTACCTGCGTCACAAACGTCAGTTACAAGGAGACTGGCATGAACAGGATTGCATTTGAAACTGACATTGGCTCTTGCTTGCTACACAGTTACACAGCAAAGCCCCACTGTGCCCCTCTTCTATACTCCAAAAATATTCATGCATATTTGTGAACGAAGGAGAAAAGATGGAATTGGCAAACACTGAGGGATATCACAAGAAAAAGCCTGTGGATAGGAGAATTTTTGAAGAACTGGTTGTGATCATATACTCAAGAGGCTGGATGAAAAGCAAGCAGGCTTTAGGTCTCCTAAGGGAACCTTCTGATACATACTGTTGTTATCATATCCGCCCCTTGGCAAGAAGCAGCAAACATCCCTTTGACAGAGCCTGGGCTCAGCAGGTGAACATATGTAGACTGGAAACGTGACCATCCATCAGCTCTCACTTTTTACTGGTCAATGAGTCTTATCAAGAATGATATTTTGACTGCACTTCTCTAACCGATGTAACGCAACTGGTTCAACAGTTAGAGCTCTGCTCTCTTATGGGGTCTTAGGAGGAGCTAAGCCAGCAACGAGGCGCCCCCCCCTCCCCCCGCTGATGGAGCAACTTTGCAGAGAGAAGCAGGGAAGACCCGGTGCCTCACCGTTGTTCTGGTGGATGGAAGCTGGGTGTGGAGGGGGCTGGAGAATTGGGAGACCTAGATGGAGCAGTCCTGGAGAGATGCTAACCCAACCACAGGTGGGCCTCATGGAACTGGCATCACACCTCTCCCACTTGAAGGCCACCTGGAGAACCAATCTGACTATATTCCAAAACTGCACTCGCAGGACAGCGAGCACAAGGGGATTTCCTCACCACAATAAAGAACACATAAGAATCGATCCGTATCTACATCTCGAACCCCACTGAAGAGTAATGCATGGGAGGTGCTCTCAGTAACAACAGAAACAAGTCGGAGACGTCGAAGGAACACCTGCTTTGCTGCATGGTTCTGAAAGGCGTAGCTTCTAAAAGACGAGGAGGAGACAAGGGCAACTCAGGCCAGCAAGAGAATGCAACATCAAGGTTACCACGTTACCGGTTATATTAGGAAGAGCTCTTCTTTCTGAAGGTAAATGTTCTTGAGAGGGCAGAGAGAAAGCTCTCTTACATACTGCCAGGTGAGATAAACTCATCAACCTTTCTGGGAATTTGACAACAGACACCAAAAACCATGAAAGCACACGCAACTCTTCAACTCAGGAAGCCTATTGCTAGGAATTTATCCTAGGCAAATGTGCAAGGGCACAGAGAGACACTGACTGGAGTTCTTTACGATAATGACAAAACTGAAAGGAAATTTACTTGCCAAGGTTCGTTTTTCAGATATCACGGGAGAAATGAAGGCACATCCACACAATGGAGTATTATATAATCATTAAAAATGGTGGTATACATGTATATTTCTTGACATGAAAATATCTATCATTAGTGAGGAAGGCAGGCTGTGGGCGGTGTATGCACAGGCACCACGTGCTTGGGGAAGGGAAAAGCACATATACGCAGAAACAGCTGGGAGTATGTACCCTAAAATGTTAAGTCATGTTCCCAAGGTGGTGCTTTAGGAATGGTATTAATTTTCTTCAATATGCTATTTGTAACTTCTTGTCAATAACTGTGCCATTTTACACAACACTTCACATTTGTAAAAATTAATAGCTTAGCTGGGTGTGGTGGCTCATGCCTGTAATCCTAGCACATTGGGAAGGTGAGGTTATGCAGATTGCTTGAGGCCAGGAGTTCAAAACTAGCCTGGGCAAAACAGGGAGACTCTATCTCTACCAAAAAATACTGCTACAATTACTGGGAGCCTGACACAGTGATATAAAGTCACCCTTCGTATCTGTGGATTCTGAATGTGCAGATCCAACCAACTGTGAATTAAAAATATTCAAAAGAAGGCTGGGCAAGGTGGCCGATGCCTGTAATCCCAGCATTTTGGGAGGCTGAGGCAGGCAGATTGCGAGGTCAGGAGTTCAAGACCAGCCTGGCCAATCTGGTGCAACCCCATCGCTACTAAAAATACAAAAAAATTAGCTGGGCATGGTGACAGGCACCTGTAATCCCAGCTACTCGGGAGGCCAAGGCAGGAGAATTGCTTGAGCCCGGGAGGCAGAGGTTGCAGTGAGCCGGAATCGCGCCACTGCCATCCAGCCTGGGAGACAGAGCGAGACTCCTCTCAAAAAAGAAAAAAAAAAAAAAGAAACAATGAAAATTAATACAACAGTGAGGAATCACACAAATAAACAACAGCATAGTAACTATTTACAGAGAATTTACGTTCTATTACATATTATAAGTGATCTAGAAATGACTTAAAAGATTACAGGAGGATGTGCTTAGATTATATGCAAACACTACGCCATTTTACATAAGGGACTCCAGCACCATGGACTGTGGTATCCATGGGGGATCCCAGAACCAATCCCCATAGATACGTAGGGACCACGTAGTGGAAGGACTGATACACACCACATACTCCAATCTCCACATTTCTCTACCTTAAGTAAGAGTCATGGAATGTGCTGCTATGAAACTATAATTAACACCCCAACTTTAAATTTTATCAAGGGTAAACTGTCTGCATTTCTTCCCCAAGAATAAAGTTAATTTTGTTTATAAATCTATCTTATATAAACCACCAATATAACAGACTTTATTAACACAAAGAGAAAAGTTTCTCTTGCCTTATCAACTGGAATGTGTTCTTATCTGACGATAAAAACCGAATCATGAACTGCATTTAGTTTCTTGTTTTTGTTCACAGCTGTTCAAAGCTAAATCCTGGGTTCAAATGTAATTGTTTCCTTCATTCCCAATTTTCAGATAGATCACTCCTACCTCCTTTCTCTTTTCTTCTTGCGCCTGTCTTTTTACTCTCATCTAAAATTTTACTTCATCTGTGCCTTTTATTGTAATTCTCTGTAGAATTGGAAAGCCACAGATTGACTGGTAGGGAGGGGAAGAGAGAGAAAGACATATGGTCTAATGCAGTGTCAGGGACAGTGTTATTTATCTCACAGTTGAGCAGGAGACCAAATAGGACTTTAACTTCAAACAGACACAAGAGGCTGGGCTGCTGGCAGGTCCCCCTTCCCCACAGTGTTTAGTTGAGGTCTGCAGCTGTTAATTGCTCTGAGGGGGTTATACTCACATGTAAACTTGGATGATAGGTCAGCACGCCATTGTCACACAGGGTGACATATTTCTTTTTCCACTCTTTATTCAACGATTTGCCACTTCGCTTCAACAGCATGCCCTACAAGGAAAAAAGAGCCAAATATAAAGTCTAACGTAAATACAAAAAGGAAAAGTAGGTACACAGGCAACATATATATTCAAAAACTTCCGTGCGCGCAGAACTTAACTCTGTGATGCTGGCAAGTGCTACAAGGTGTGCCGTTAGTTCAGCACATACAGCACCGATAACAGCAACACACTGAGACATGCTACACTAGACCTTTTGGATAATTAACTTATAAACACACTGGAAACACTTAAAGGCACAATGTTTTAAAGACAGAAACCTCAGGCTGGGCACAGTGTAAGCATCATTTGAGCTCAGGAGTCCGAGACCAGCCTGGGCGAGATGCTGATACTCCCATCTCTATAAATAATAGTAATAGTAATAATAATAATAATAATAATAATAAAATTAGCTGGGCATGGTGATGTGTGTCTGTAATCCCAGCAACTTGGGGGGGCTGAGGTGGGAGGATCCCTTGAGCCCAGGAGGTTGAGGTGGCAGTGGGTTATGACTGCACCACTGTACTCCAGCCTGGGTGACAAAGCGAGATAGTTTGTAAAAAAGAGAGAGGAGAGAAGAGAGACAGAGATAAACGGAAAGAACAAACTAAAAAAACCATATTAATTGGGCCGGGCGTGGTGGCTCACGCCTGTATTCTCAACACTTTGGGAGGCCGTAGCAGGCAAATCACCTGAGATCAGGAGTTCAAGACCAGCCTGGCCAACCATGACCAATATGGTGAAACCCTGTCTCTACTAAAAAATACAAAAATAAGCTGGGCACAGTGATGGTCACCTATAATCCCAGCTACTTGGAAGGCGGAGGCAGGAGAACTGTTTGAATCCGGGAGGCAGAGATTGCAATGAGCTGAGATCCTGCCACTGCATTCCAGCCTGGGCACCAGAAGGGGACTCCACCTCAGAAAAAGAACAAACTGTATTCTCACCTTACGATATTTGTAAAGGAGGATTTTTTTTTTTTTTTACAGTTTCTTTCATTTCAGATTTTTAATTAAAACTGAAATTCCACGGGCAAATTTCAATAACAGTATTTAATAGATGAATCCCATGTGGTTTAAATCATTTTTAATGTCAGCATATTAGGCCTCCTTGAAAATCACTCAGAATTTGAAACCAACACATTTTTGAAGCCATGTTTAAACCAGTCTTCTTCAACGCTTGTTTAGAATTTCTTCTTGTTTTAACACCAATTCCCAGCAAGCCTCACTCCTCCTTTACAGGTTTCCCTTTGTTAAGGAAACGGACGCCAACCTTGAGGCTGCACAGGCCCAGCCCCGTGACTGAGGTTCTCTCCTTCTCAGCCGGGGCTCCATGCCTGCCCAGTGTTCACATCGGGAGTCTCTGTCTTCCTCTCTTCACATCTTCTAATTCTGGTGCATGTTAACCAAGAAAAATGGAGCAATTTCTTTACTTCCTCTTCTGCTAGCTTCTCATAAACTCATGTAACCTTAGTATGACTGAGAAAGCGTAAGACTCTCAGTCCAGCTAGTTAATTCCCCTGGATTGAGGCAGAAGGAAAGTTATGAATGTAGGAAGACACTTTGAGAAAGCCAAGATGCCCTTGTCACCTTCAGAACTTTTCCCAGCCTCCATCAACCTCCTAAATTCTGCTATCTTTAAAGAATCACAATATGACAATGAATTGAGTAAGTTTTATGTGATATAACTGAGTTCAAGTTCCAATTACCAAAATTATGACCATACTGTTTTTTATTTACTAAATCATAGCCAAGTTTCACAAACATCACAAAGCATGAGCTGGCATGAGGCTACAATCGCCATCAGACATTGTTGCTTAAGGGATAATATTTGAGTTTGAAATGACTTTGGAAGATGATTTCTTTGCAAGTCCTTATTCTTTAAAGGAAATGTGACATATTTCTTGGAATCTAATTCACTATAAACCAAATGGGGAACTGAGCCCAATCAACTGAACCAAGCCCAAAGGAAAACGCTACTAAGTGGCAAACAAAGACAATAAGGGCTTCCTTGTGTGGCAGGGAGTAGGGACGAAGGGCAGTCACCATTAGTGATGCAGTAATAAGCAACTGCTTCAACTCACGGAAGCCCCCTCTCCAGTGGGATTCCCATGGATTTTAAAACTTTGTAACAAAGCTTCATTCAAGTTCTCCAATGGGCTCCCATTTTTCCTTCATCCATTTCAGATGGAACTCCAATGCCAGGGCCAGGGGTCACTGGTGTCACCAGGAGAGTACAGGTGCTCCCGGCTTCATTCAGAAAGCTTCGTCCCTTCCCACTCACAAACCCCGGCCACAGAGCACGCCTCTGGGGCTCCGTGCAGATAGACTGGCACCACTCTTCTGACTGGCATGTGGGTGCTTTCGTGAGCAAATCATATCCTCATAATTGTTCTGCCCCCAGTGAAGGCTACGAGGATTTATGTGTTAAGGGAAAAATAAGAAACAGTCTAATGGGAAGGCATGTGAAGACATGATTTCATAGCTTTCTGAGGAACTAAATGAGGCTGAATTAAACCTTTGTTTTAATTAAAAAAAAAAAAAAAAAGGCTGGCGTACAGTCATGCTATCATAGCTCTTCGTGGCCTCGAACTGTTGGGCTCAAGGGATCCTCCCTCCTGAGCCTCCTGAGTAGGTTGGAACTACAGGCATGTGCCATCCTGCTCGGCTAATTTTTTATTTTCATTTTTCTTAGAGACTAGGTCTCACTCTGTTGCCCAGGCTGGGGCACAGGGCACTGATGCGACTACAGCTCACCGCAACCTTGAATTTTCTGGCTCAAACAATCCTTCTGCCCCAGCCTCCTCTGAGTAGTTAGGACGACAAAAACACGCCACCATGCCTGGCTAATTTTTTATTTTATTTTTTGTAGAGACAGGGTCTTACCATCTTGCCCAGGCTGGTCTCGAACCCCTGGGCTCAATCCCTCCACTTTGGCTTTCCAAAAGTGCTGGGATAACAGGGGAGTGAGCCACTGTGCCCAGCTGACGCTCATTTTCTTTTGATCCTAGGAAAACTCCATGTCTTGGTGAAGGAACATCCAAATCTTGACAAGATTAAATAAACTCTTAATAAACTTAGGAGTTTAAATAAGTAAACTTACTTAAAGTCTACGGCTTACCTGGGAGGATAATCTTGGATTATGGGCACTATTCAAGTCCTACGGAATACCCTGGCCTCCTAGGAGTCATAGTTCTGCCCTCCAGCCTTGGCCCCAGTTGAGTTTATTATCTGACCCCCCAAAAAACTGCTGTGGAGACCAAGAGCCACCGGGCTGCCCCGCTTACCACCTCATGGCTGTGGTCCAGCTGGGCCGGGGCAGGTGCACTTTTCTTTCAGTGGCCTGAGCACTGCCCCACGCTCGGCCTGGCTGTGCAGTCATGTCCCTGGACTCCTCTGCTTCCCAAAGCAACAGGTCAGGGGCAGCAAAGTTATGGACGCCATGGCTCCTTGAAAGCCAGGACTCCGAGTTACAAAGGAGAAGTGGCTTGTTAGCTAACGGAATGTGACAGGCCCCCCCTGCTCTCTTCACTCCTGCCAGCACACGCGGCTGCTGGGCTGCCAAAGTCTCCCGTTCCTACGCATGGGCAGTGATCTGCCCTCCAGGCAGAACCTCCAGGTGTCCCAGCCATTGCCTAGCCCAGCGCCTTTGGTCTTCAACCTCAGCCCCCACTTCCAAAGCACAAACGCAAACGGTGGCTGCTCAGGACCCCTCCGGCAGGCACCTCTGTCACCTCCCTTGTAGAGTGAAAAGTGAAACTTCACAACCACTCGACTTCCCACCGCACCCCACAGTTTACAGAGGGCATCCCCAATTCCCAAGGCATTCTGATTCCGTCAAGGAACATGAGTGGACTGGGGTTCTGTTTCACTACCAAATTCCCACTGAAATGTAACATGAGCTTGGAGTGAGAGCAGATGAGCACCACTCTAAGATGAAAACACACAAATATTTCCTTTCACTTACTCTGCGCTTGGCTCTAGAGGAAGAGGTTTCTGTTTGCTAAATCCAGGAGCAGCCTCAGAAGCCTCAACTCTGAGAGTCTTAGAGGAAAGGAGAATAGGACAAGAAATCTCAGCCCTACTAGCAAATTCCAGGAATGGGCTGCCTGGGGCTGCTGGAAACCGGAGGTCAGACCTGCTCCGCAGGGAGGAGCGCTTTAGCGCTCCAGAACATGACAGCAACTTGCTGCACCAACAGGCCCCTGGGATTGTGCAACACAGCAGCCCTGCAGGGCTGGCTGGTCCCATGGGGCCAGATTTCCTGATTCTCAAAGAGAAGGAGAAACACTGGAATTGGATATGATGGCTTCTTATGTGAAAATACTGGCAACAGATATACATTTTTGCACTGAACATAGGTTACACTGAACCTGCCTGCAGGCCAGCTGCACGTGCACTCTGTGTTGGAGACCACAGGCCAAGAGTCACTGGGGCTGGATGAAGTCCCCTTCCCTCCCATGGATCTTAGGATCCAGAGCCCATGCTCTCCATCTGACACGGGGAATGTGGCCTGCGGGGCAGCTGTGTGCAGAGGCCACTCTCTCGGGCTTCCACAGGCACCAAAGGCCCTTCTCTGAAACCAGTGGGCTGCCCTCCGCCCCACTTCCTGCCTGGCCCTGCAGGTGCCTGAATGTCTGGGCCCTGCCATAGGTGAGCAGGTAAGCAGGGTGGAGGAGGGAAAGGTTATCTGATTTGCTTTAGGAAAGGTACCCCTGGTGAGGACAAATTGTAAGCTGGCAAGACGGAAGCGCTTTCTTGCTCAAAGTGTGGCCCACTTTAGACCAGCAGTTGGGTCTACCTGAGAGGGGAGGAATCAACCCAAATTTAACAAGATCCCAGGCGGTCTGAACAAATTTGAGACGCACTGGACACCTGCCATTTTTTCTGGAACCATAATTTCTCCAAGAGAATCTTTAAATTTTTGAGTTTTTATTGTAATCACTCTCTAAAAGAGATCCCAAACCGCCACTGGATTTCACTGCCCGAGTTGGCATCTCTGACTTCCTAGGTC